GTACCCAGATATTTAGATTTTCAGGCTCAAACAGCAGTCAGCACTGTTGCTTGTAGGCTGTATCCATCCACCACCACCTTTTACTCAACTTTCACATGGAAAACACAGACAGCAGTTCTGCAGATAATTTGTGGCCAAGGGAATCCAGTCTGGGAAGTCATTACTATGTACACTCTGTGTGCAGAGCACTGAGCAGAGACCACAGCAGCCAGATGCTAAAGCCAGAAGTGGCCATATGTTCTGGATTTCTACTGACAATAAGCTCAGGAGGCATTGCTCCTAGGAGAACTAGTTGTAATTGTCCTCTGCAACTGCTGCCTCTTTGGAATACATTCAATAAAAACACAGTCTTATTTAAAGACATATGCAATCGTATATATGTTAGGCAGAAAAAACAGTGAATGTCTAATCCATGGGAGAAATCCACTGAAAGATGCCACATCTTTGTATTCTCCTGCTTTTACCACAGTGAACTGCTTATGGAATTGCTTATACAACTGAGACTTGCGGGCAATAAAGGTGGACAAGGTGGTGGAGGATGCCACCAGTCAGCCATCATGGAAACATCCCATGGATGTTTTTAAGTAGTCTTATATAACTTGTTTTGTTTCCTCCTCGTGTTACATGAACATGTGCTTCCTCTTCTCTTGGACCACGGTGCCAAAAACACTTGCATGTGCATGTGAGTTAATGCAGCTGAATGCTATCACTCAGTGTCATATCAGGCAGTTTAGTTATTGCTGGATTAGAAAAGAAGAATTTTTAACTATGCATGTTGCAGAAACACTGCGGTACAATTGGCCATATGTGCATTTCACTAAAGAGATGGAATTACAGCAGGATGACATACATTGTGCTTTTATCCTCCGCCCTGTATTTGCTTTAAATGTACTATAAGGTTGGAACACCTTATTAGGTTGAGTACACGGGTGCATCAGGGGCAGCTTGCTGCTCTTGGAGCAAGGAGAAAAAAAGGAAAAATATTCAAAAATACGCACTTATTTATGACAGATGATCTGTTTTCACTGTTAGTAGTAGTCCAGCATATATCATTTCAGCATACCAAATAGATACATGGTCCTTAAAAAAAAGACTAGTTGTTAGGCTCAGTTCTGGGTTCTGCTTGGAGACTCGCTATGTAACTTTTGCCATGTCACCTGTAATCTCTGTGCCTCTTCTAGCTTCTCTGTTGGGCTTGAGTGATAAGGTCTTCAGGGCAATTATGTGACTGGGTACCTTAACTTTTCCCTTAAGTCCTAAAATCTCGGTACCAGACCTTGAACATATTTTCTACTATTTTAGCATAGTCAATCTTCCTAAAAGAGGCCAGGAATTAAAATTAGACACTGAAATGCATAGATCTCAGCATTCTGTCTTACTTTATTATGATGTGAGGTTACTGACCTTTCAGTTACTGCTCTGCTGGGATTTTTGTAATGTCCTGGCATCTGAAAAGGTCATTTGGGGGAGGGGGGGGTTGGTACTATGTTACTTAAAAAGTGGATTTCTTTCTACGATTATCAACAGGTATGATACCCCAAAGCTGGGTGCAATGTGGGATTACCCTGTTCTGATGGTCATAAAATTAAGGCTAAGAATACCTGAATATCCAAAACAGACAACATTTAATTTTGAGAAGCTGTAGGGGCTAAAAGTCTTTTCTTACATGTAGAATTGTTTTAAAAACAGGTAATATAATACATGGAAGGGTACTGGGTAGCAATGCTATCTATTCAAGTGGTAACATGAGCCTTGATAGTTAGCAAGAGAAAAACAATTCTGCAGAACTGAAATGAACTGACCACTTGTAGTAGGGGGTGCCCCTCAGAGCCCATAATTCTAATCAGTTGTGGGATAATATTGGACTGAGTGGGAGGAATATGGCAGCAGAAACTATGTTAGGATAAAAATATAGTTCAAGTCCTCTTTGCTGATTTATGTTAAATTTGATAAAGATTTTCAGAAAAAAAGCAAAAGCAAGTGATTAAGCACAAAACTCTGCTTCTGCATTTTGCCTAAGAAAATGTTGTGTGATTTAATTAGAAATGTTTCTCATTGCTCTTCCATTTTCAAGTATCAAACTAAAAAAAAAAAAAAAATAAGTTCACGATTAGAAGATCTGTTCAACATGAAAGATTTTCTCTAATCTTTCTTTCCCTGCATGCAAATGGAAAAATAAATGCAGCTGTTCCAAGAAGTGGAATGGCACAACTTTTCATGTCAGAATACCTAAATGAATATTAATGTTGCTGGATGGGTAGCTTGGGGAGCTCACTTGAAGACGACCTGGGCTCCTGGTAAATAATCTAGTAGTTTAATACTCAAGGTATTTACACAGCCTTTCTTGCAAAGATCTTGGGCAACTTTTCTCACAATAATAAAGTAATCCTGAAACACAGTTGTGAGATATTTGCCTACAGGAACGGTTAATGCCTGTCAAAACAGAATAGCAGTTACCCAAGGTCCAAGTTGGGTCTCCAAGGCTCCATGGCCAAGGCCTGGAGCAGCAGGGAGAGCAGTGCTCCCTGTGTCCCCTTCACCTCACCGGGGTTTCACTCTCCAGGCTCCAGCCATGGACCTGGCAAGGAGTTACAAGCTCTGCGGCTGTGGCGGTGCCTGGTGGACAACCCCCAGCTGCAGCCCTACCCAACGAGCCGCAGCAACAAAACGCTCCAGTTGTGAACTTAGCTATTGCCCTTAATGACACAGAGGTTATGACTAATACTTACCCAGGATGTTCCGAGGGAAATACAACCTGTTTTGTGGCAGACCTCTTAAGGCTACAGCAGTTGAGATAGTTCCCAGTCATTAAGGATTTTCCAGTGAACCTGCCTCCAGTCAGGCTTGGGTAGCAGGGGTTTGAATTCATACCTTTCTCCTCAGTGTAACAAACCTGGTTTTGCAGGTGGGGAATTGACACACAAGAGGTCTTTAAACTTTTGATAGCCCAGCCTCAGTTAGCCTGTTCAGGATCACTACTCAATCTCTTGAAATTTACACAGGGCAGAATCTACTAGTCTTTCTATACGGACCTAGATCAAAATATTAACTTATTTTAACATATCAGTTTAGTGTTCCTAGAGAAATGTCTATGTAATTCTATGAAATTGTGCCCCTTTCATCCCTCTTACATTTTATTGGAAAACATAAACCTGTGAAATGAGTTCCCAGGACTGCACGCCATGCTCCGACCAAAATGAATCCCACATTATGATCTCACATGGAGTAGGAGCAGCATCTCATCCTTCCCATTTCCAGACCTAGGGACTCTAGAAATTTTAATAGAAAAGCTGAAAAGGAAATCATTAATTTTAAGAACATCCTAGGATTAGACCTAAGACATCCTGCTGTCAACTGGAAGCAGGGAAACATAGAGGGGAAAAAAAAAAATAAAGATTTTGTGTAATCTAAAGACTTGAGCAGAATGTAGGTTTTGTTTTGTCAGCAGGATGAAAATTTCATCCTTTGATTTTAGGCTTGACATTTGGAGGCCTGCAGCTCGGGATTTTAGATTTTCTCCCGTCTATCCATGGTTAGGCAAAACTAATATATGTGTTTTGGGGGGATAAGTAAAACTCAAACTTGGAAAAAAAAAAGATGAAAAGAAAGCTGAGCTTATTTGTATATGGCCCACAGAACTTACGTCTCACCATGTCAACCAAAAATATACATACGCTTAGATATGACAATCTGCAAATCACCTTGAGGTGCACTACATCACAACTGATCAGAATCTCTTTCAAACAGCTTTTGATTTCATTTTGCTCTTGTTTTACAGAAGGGTTAATATGTCATCTTAAGCCCCTACTAATTATACAACTCTAAATCAAAAGGTCTTTTCTGACACTGCAATAGAACCACACAGCAAGATCAAATCTGTTATAACGTTAACATATTAGATCTGTTACTGCCTATTCTGTTAAAAAACTCCAGAAATGTCAACTCATGACACAAATGGAAGAAGAAAAATAGGTAAAAGTATCAGACTCAATTAAGACAGACATCTGAAATTTGCTTTTTATAAAGAGATTTTTGTGTTACATTCTAGTACACAAAAAAAGGTCTTTTGAAAGTAGGGAAAGTGAAGAAAAAATCCATATTTTAAAAATATATTATTGAAATATAAATTGCATTTATAGTTTAATCCAAGTTTAATTTTAACCTTATTCTCTGAAAGATTGCCTTTAAAAAATCAGTTATCTATATAATTTATACATGCAGACTTTAAACTAGGGAAAATTTCCACTCAGCCGTATTTTTTAAATTTGACAATATTTCTAGAATATATTTCTCTCGCATTTCTAGAATAATTTTACTGAACAGAGATTTATCCTTTCAATTCTACTCTTCTTTGAAATCCCAAACCAGGATCATGATCTTAAAAATGTGACTGATAAAAGCTACAATAAAGTATCTTAGGCAGGGAGAATCTTGAAATGATACTTGTTTGAGAGCAAGGTAAAATTTTGCTAAAAACACCAACTTAGAAACAGCTTTTACCTGAAAGAAAAAGCAATGAAATTAACTGTACTAGACACTAGTGACTTACTATATCAGAAATGACACTGTTTAGAGAGTTCTCTTGCAATATCACACAGCTAGGAAAGCTCGCCATGAGAAAAAACACAAGGATTCAAATGTCACAGGAAATAGCATATACATTTTTTATGGCTTGTGTTTTTGAGTAAACAATATTAATTCTCATAACACTACAAAGGGAGAAAGAAACCCCAGATCCAAGCAATCTTCCCTCAGATTAATTAGTGAAGCAATGAATAAAAAGAAAACAACTGCAGTTTAAAAAAAATGTAGCATCTCTTTTGAAACACCAAACTTAAAAATTGAATATATGAGGAATTCTGTAAATATTTTTAAAAACTGTAGCCATGGGAAGACAAAAGCTCCTGCTTCGGTGCTTAAAATACTCCATCAGTTACCTGCTGCGCTACCACATTGAAACATTATCACATAAAGGAGAAATGGAAATACTCAATACTCACGCTTGCTTTCAGGCTGCTCCTCCTGGTAACTTGTGGAGCAAAATAAAGGAAGAAATAATTGGATGTCTTTGCAGAAACAAGCACTCAGCAAGTCCAAAAGAAACAGAATGCTTTGCCAGAGCTATTTGAGGGTCCCATCAGAATTTGGCTGCTTGAAAGAAGGCTGAGGGTCAGTTTGTTTCCCTTAGACCTCGTGACATGCAAATAGCTGGCTGCCTCACCGCTGAGCCAAATCACTCTTTGACATCTTGTGTTTACAAATTACAAACACATACTGCTTAGGAGGTTCTTAAAGGAGCACATTTCAGAGAACTGTCAAAAGGAAAAAGGCACTTCTCTTAAAAAAAACACCCACCACCCCACCACCAACAGCAGCAAGAATCCACAACCCAAATCTGGCTCCCCCAATAGGCCAGTACAAGTTGTTGGTGGAGGGGGAGATGGATTACGATTCACTCCCAGATTTATTGTGCACGGACCAAAGAGTATCCAAAAGACTTGATTTGGAGTTGCAATTTATGGAAGAAAAATCCTTATGACTAATGTCTGAATGTCACATGCCGGAAATGGGTGGGGATTATACTGAGAAACATTTCTCCAATTTAAGGAAAGATTTTTGGGGGATCCAGCAGAGCTCCTCTCGTGCTATTAGTGCAATTCCGATGCTGGAAGCTTTGTCATTCTCGCACACACAGAAGTTTTTTATTTTGCATTTCACTCATGTGGTACCACTGGACTCTTACAGATTCTCATTTTTCTGCTCCGGTTGAGCCTGAATTGCAGTCCTTGCCTACTGTTTGGACAGAAGAGGGGCCAAGTAACTTCCACACAGAGCCCAGGACATACAGAACAAATTATACTTTGCATGGGACTCTAGGCAGATCTTTAACCAATTTTAGCTGAAAGTGAGAATACTGTGTCAGCTTGAGGAAGTTGCAGGCTGAAGTTAAGCAGACTGAAAAGAAGGATGGCTGGATGTGGTTTAAACCACTATTGACCTCAAGGCAGATTTTTCCACCACCAAGAGCCAATATATCCAAGTAATCTATAAAGTCAAGTGGGTGGGATTTTTTTTTTTTAACATCATGGCCAAGTAAATATTTAAACAGTTTAAATAAGTATCTTGTCACGTGAAGCCTTCACTAGAATTGCCAAATCTGAAAAATGTGTTCTGGAGGCTATCTGTGTCTAGGTAATGGCTTGCAATTAAGACTATAATCACTGGGTTTTTACTGCTGAGAATTCATCATCTCTAGCTGTGGCTGATTGGTTTATTTATACTCTGCAGATGCTTATTTTCCTCCACAGAAACTATATTGATTTTTTCCCCCTCCTGTTTAGGGAGGGAAAAAACTGTATTTAGAACTAGCACTTTGCTCATTTTTCAAGCCTGAGATATTGCAGATTGAGAAGGAAGGGCAACAGTCATATCTCAATTTGAATTCAGAAAGAGAATCAAGAAAAGCTTCCTTTGCTTCCAACCAGAAAAATCTGAATGTACAATTCTTGACTAGGTATCTTTTGAAGCTCAGAAGTGAAGTCAAAAATAGTACCCAGGCGAATCTATCAAGAGCTAATGACACTTAGAAGCAGTTCTAATACAACATGTTCTTTCCAGAGATGGGACTGAACATACAGATGTCTCCTCTACTATGTTGTCTTCCTAAATCTCTAAAGACCTCCAAATTTTTCTCATGTGCATATTAGACATAACTATGCTAATGTAAGACACACGTGCATTTAAAATAGAGTTAATATTTTTTGCAACTGGGGCTAATCACAGTAGAGTTGAAGGACAGGAAAATAAATCCTGCTGCTTCTTCAGGCCACCAGTTAGATATCGTCTTTTACAACTCTCTCTCCTGAGCCTCCTGAAGTAGAAAGTTGCTGGTCTCATCTGCTCATAGGCCAGGCCTGTCTTCATCTTCTGACTGAAAATTTGGGAGTTCATCAACTACATCATCAGCATGGTGTTCCTCTTTAAACTTTTCAAAGTAGTCTTTCCACTTCGAGAAAAAAAAAAGTGCAATTTCTCAACAATTCCAAAAGAAATACTCTTTGTTTCCTGAGAAAATATCTTCATCCTTTGCTGAATATGTTCTCAGTTATGCGGGTGAGCGGAGAGAAGGAATTCTGCTCTCAAGCATTGTTTACCCAAAAGCTTCAGATCTTTGCCATTTTTATGCTTCAAGTACAGGCACCGTCCAAGCAGGCTGAGCAGCGCATACTTGGGGACTTGAATGGCGCTCAAAGGAAACATCTTGACCTGCCTTGTTCTTATATTCCTCCCTAGGCACCCCCTTTTGCCCACTGCTGGAGACAGAACACTGGGCTTGAAAGACCTTTGATCTTACACAGCACAGCTGCTCTTAGGTTCTCTTCCAAACCCCAAAATTTCCTATTAAACAAACAAGTCCTTCTTCCCCACCCAACAGCCTACCCTAGTTTGTAGGCCCTGATCCTAAAGAAAATAAAACTGTACAAACACACACCTATATACACATACACACACACACACACACAGATAAAGTACGTGATTCTACAGACATATACAATCTTTTATATATTTTATATCTATAAAAGGTTTGAGCAGCAACGTGACTAGTCTGCTCACGGGTCTATGCAGACTGAAACTATTGGAGCTGCAGGTAAGCTATAGGATGGATTTATGCAGACCACAACCCTCAAAGCTATTACTTGGAAAATTGTGCCAAAATATTAAGAAACTGCAGAAACAGAGCTACAGAGAAAGCTGCAAGTTCAAACAGACCAGTTTTCTTGTTTCTAGCCAATCTGCAATTAACCGAAGCTACGAAAGTCCCATTTTGCTAATTACAAACAGGCAAAGGAAAGACTGCTGCTGAGGAAAACAGCTTTCTAGCTATACTTAAGGGAATTTCTATTTGTGGAGAGTTCCAGCAAATAAGGCTAGGAGAAGCAAGTTTATAAATATTTGTGTGCATATCCTCCATCAGCAGTATGAGTCTGTAAAAAAGTAGTTTTTTCAAATACTACAGGCTAAAGGAGACGCTAACATTACTAAAGCTAAATTGAATAATTTAAATAATTAATACCAAAGTTTTTATTTATACATTGTGCACTGCATTACATTTAGTTTTCCTGGATAAGCCAATAAGCAGCTTCACTTTGTGAGCCAAACCCTTGATTTCTAAGAAAAGACTCTTCCTCCCACGTACATCCATTCTTGGGAGAGGAAAAGAATCAATTAGCAAAATATTCAGGAAAATGCATATTCCTTTTCTTTCTCTCTCAGAACACTTTGATAAACTAGAGAAGGATTTTTCACCAAAAGGATGAGGTTGGAAGGGACCCCTGGAGATCATCTAACCCAACTGCCTGCTCCATCAGGGTCACGCTGCACAGGATCGTGCCCAGGCTGGCTCTGCCTTTCTCCAGAGAAGGAGACTCCACAACCTCTCCGGGCAGCCTGTTCCCAGGCTCTGTCAGCCTCACAGTGAAGATTTTCCTCAAATTCAAGGAAAATCTTCCTGTTTTGCTCTGACTTTTGTCTCTCATCTTGCACCATCGGAAATGGCCTGGCCTCATCCTCAACATGCTTCCTCTGACCTCCCTTAGCGTGTTTCTAACATTGATCAGACGCCCTCTCAGCCTTCTCTTCTCTAGGCTGCGCATTCCCAGCCCTGCCAGTCTTTCCTCACAGGAGAGATCTCCCTACGACCCCCTCATACAATCACTGTGGTGGCCCCACACTGGGCTCTCTCCAGCAGCTCCATGTCCTCTTGTACAGGGGAGCTCAAACCTGGGCACAGCTCTCCCACTGCAGGCTTAGCCAGGCTGGGAGAGGGCAGCATGACTCTCTGGACCTACTGGTGCCAACGCACCCACTGGCCTTCTTGGAGAGTTCTGCCTCCGTTTGCATCCCAAATTTCTTGGCCCCAATTTTCCATGTTGAAAGACAGCAATCTGAGGAGGTTGCTGGAGCAATGACACCTGTCAGCAACCACGGGACACTTCTGAATCCTCATGCTTCCTACACAACTTGGAAAAACACATATAATCATTCATATTGCTTCTACGTTACAGACAGTCAATGCATTATGTAGCAGATCGTTTTATGTTATTATCCAGTCACACAGCATCAAACACAGAGGGAGATTCAAAGCAGCACATTAAATCAAATGATGCATCCTAGCAGATGCCACCTGAAAGCTGCAAGTCTAAGACCAACCACTGCCTAAAGCAAACAGAAGGTATTTTAAATATATCATTTAATATTATTAAAATTATTTCATATTTGCATAATGTCATATGGCATATTATTTTAAAAATAGATCAATGTCATATAAAGTCATTTACATTAAGCACTGGAATATTACAGTTGGTTTGGCTAATTAACAAGAAATCAAACCTTTTCACTCTATGCAAACTTTATTTCTTAAACAAATTTAAACAGCCACAGTATTTTTCATCTTACTTGTCAATGTCCTTTACTGCCAGCTCTGGCCAGAGAAGGGGGAGCCCCTACCTTTTTGTAGGGGGAATTCAACTACTATTTTGCTTACAATTGGTAAAGAAAAGCGCTTCAATGCAAACATCATAAAACACTACCCAATTTCCATATATGTGTAATTCAGTTTACCTTAAAGTTAACTTCAACTCAATTTCTTACAAAGTTTCCATATTTGGTCATGTTAACTCTATTGCAATTTCAGGCTTGAAGATATTTTCGGTCAAGTTTATAGAATATGTATAATGCTGGAAAAGATAAATATTTAGACAAAGTTCAGCCTGCAAAGAATCCAAACTAGCTTCTTTTGGTATCAAAGAATTTTGGCATAAATGGTAAACGATTTTCAGTGGTATTTTCAGCTATATTTCTCATTTTACTACTCAAATTTCATTTAATGAAAAAGCCTGAAATTACACAAACCATTATTGGGCATTTCATAAGTAAAACATGGCTAAGTAATAGTGAAGCAGTTCATATTTGAAAATGTGATATTCTCTAAAAAATAAAAATTAGAAATAACTGACATATGAGAACTATATGTCATTAAACTGACAGAACTCTTTTCCACTTTCCTCAAGATGCTCAGTACAACTCACGTGTGAAAACTTGAGGGAAACACTAATATTTAGCTTCTGCAGATTAGACAAAGAGATTTCAGCATATAAAGCCTGTGTAAAAAAGATTTTAAAAGTTAACATTTCAATTACTTTCAAGAAACTCAGGATAACACAAGTTCCCTCAAACAGAGCAGATCACTTGAGTGTCAAGCCCACTCTACCCACTACTATGCCACCTGGACCGAGGACTCGACCAGTCGACAGAATAAACACAGAGGATGTTAAATACAACAGGCGTAACAGTATTTCCTCACCCACAAAATACTAAAGGATATCTCCTCCTCAGTCTCAATTACCAGTTTTTAAATGAGCTATTAGAGACATTAACATGATACATTAGGAACGTGAGTGTGCTAATTTTAAGATTACAGTGTATTTAGAAAAGTCAAAGTAATACTAAGTCTTTTAGATTCAGATATTTTTACTTGTACTTGTTTTTACTGTTGCGGTTTAGTGAACAATTTTGAATTTCTGTGTTGTTCATACAAAAGTTGAATATATCAGTTACAAAGAAAAGCAAAGATGGCCTTTCATTTGTATACTACTAGATAAAAGTATTACAGTTTCAAAACTAGCCTTTGAAATGGAGATAGGCAGGCTTACACAGTGCTGCAGTTCTTATAAATCCACACCAGAAGAGCAAAACTGTAAGCCTGTGCTCAATGTAGAAGAATACCCTATTATTTGAACAAACCACTTCGAGAGGGCTCACATAAAGATGCCCATTTAAAACAGATTTCACATTCAAAGTGTTCACCACTGTGTTCTGCCACATTTACATTTAACACATTACAAGACATGTTATATATGTTGCAGTAGTATTAAGCTGAACACCACTTATCACCGTTATCCAGTAACTAAGTTCCTCGGTTGTAATTTGCAATCATTAAAAAAAAAAAACAAAACAAAAAAACACCACCATTTTTCATCAAGCATTTTCTGTGATACTTCCCTTCAGGATTAAAAACAAAACACAATTAAAAATCCCACTCAATTGATGGTGCCATGGATATGGATACATTGAGCTATGATTTTATTCCTCTGTTACAGAAGATTTTCTAGGTCTGAGAACGAGGTCTTTGATAGAGGTAGTGATTTCCTGGAGCTCCTTTCGAATGGTATCTGCTTCCTCCTCTTCCTGGTTTTCTGTTATGCCACCATCTCCTTGCTCAGCTTTCTTATTCTGATTGATCAGTTGCTTCACCACCAATCCCTGGTATTTAACTAAAAGAGAATGTTGATCCTGAGGAAAAAGCAGAACAAAACAAAGCGTCAACGTTATGAAAAAGGTATGTAGACAAGCTACACAGATAAATCAACAATTTCAAATAAAAAAAAAAGCCCTCACATTCTTGCCTAAGCAGGATTAATGATAAACATTTTGATAAAGAAATCAAGATATTTTACAGCCTAAATTCTGAGCAAGATGAGCAATAATACTTTTAGCACACTGCAGTATAGAATTGAACCTTCTTATTTTTGAAGAGCTACCTCTGCCTTCAATACCAAGTTAGAAAAGTTCAAATGCAAACACATTCTAGTTGTGAAAAATAGACTAAGAATTTTCAGTAGTTTGTAACATCCCATAACGCACAGCTGGCTGCTCTACGGATAAAGACAAAAGCTACTAATTTCAGATGTAAAATATCTGCAAAAGATATTGAAACAGGTTGCTGAAACAATAGGTCTGAAGTATATTACAGGTCAGAGAAGTTGTCTGTTCTACTCAAAGTTATGAAAACCCAAAGACGCCAGCCTCACACAGCAGAAATAATCAGTATAAATCATTGCTCTTATGTTCTCTCAAAAAGGTATTCTGCCATTAAAATACAGAAGAAGGAATACCTCTGGGATCTTGCTGCTTAGGAAATTAATGATCTGTGGGACCGATCTTCCTGGCGCATGAAGCATACAGTGGGTTGCAAACTGAAATAACAGCACGGACGTCAGGTGCAGAACAAGAGCTGGGTCCTCCGTGACTTTTAGCTGTTCAGTCAGAGCTTGTCTATGCTGGAACAGGACTTGCCTAAGGAAAAGGGGTAGAAAATACACTTCTCATGCTCTCCTATTGTAACAGGTTGCAAAACATCTCTCTCTCTCTCTCTATTTTGATTTTTGTTAATGTTTATTTTTGAAGCTATCAAATGGACTGGTTCTGAAGGTGAAATTCCAGGATAAAAAAAATGCTAGCAGTGGTGTAGCTCAGAGATTTTGAGCCCCTCTTCCCCAAGAGCTTTTGAAGTGTTTTGAAGTGTTGCAATAACCAGTCAGTTAAGCAAATCAGTTAAAAACTCTCCTCCTTTTACCACCAAATTGGGGCTAACTGCCTTTGTGTTTTCCAGTTAGCCAGTTTGGGAAGGAAGGCAGCCCCTTCCCACAAACACACACGCATCTACTGAATGAGCCACCTGACACTGGTGCAGCAACAGTGCTACAGTTCATGTACTGTATAGAGAACAAACGACATGAAAGGTACCTTTCCTTCTTTTTGTCTCCTTTCTTCACCATAATATCACATACATCTGCTGCAGAATCAAGGTAAGAAAGAAAATCTTCTAAACTCTATAAGAAAGAACAGACTCAAACATTTGATTTGCATTACCAGGTTCAAAACAAACAAACAGAACAACAATGAAAAACCCACAAAAAGGCACACAAAAAAAATCCAAAACAGTCCACAATTTATCTCCTAAGCAGATGACACTGAATATATTTGGAATAAACAAGTGAAAAGCAGAAAAGTGGTATTTGTTCATCCTTCAGTAGTTCACATATTTAAACATTAAAACACACTATGATCAGTAAGTCTTAAAAATGAAATATCAAGAGAGGAATACATGTTCAGCAAGTTCTTTAGAGATTTTTTTCTTAAGAAATGTATGAATATGGATTCTTGCATTAAAAAGTAAACTATCTTCCTTGCTACTTCCTTTCTACTTAAATGGTTAGGATCTGATTTTTTTTTTTTTTAATACCCAAGATGTTATCAGTTACTGAATACATGAAAAGAGGATCATGAGTTTCAGTAAAAGGATACAAGCCACTTAAATGAGGAAAAACTGCAGATTCTCAGCTTTTGTTTACATATAAAAGACACATTGGATCCACATGAAAGCAGTGTGCAAAGTGCTAGGTACCTATCAATAGCAAATACAAACCCAGCTTTCTGCCTTTTAAAATTTCTGGATATGAAAATGTACTTCCTCTTACTGACTTACACAAATTCAAATTACAATGCTGGGTTCAACCTTCACAAGAACAGCAGTAACCTATTACATCATATAAATCAGCTTCTTGTATTAATACAATATTAGCAGAAAGGGAAACCTGAACTCAAAGATTCTGAAAAACTTTACCTTTCCATTCAGAGAAGTATGCAGCTTAGTTAAAGGACCTCTGGTATCTTCTGGCAGTTTACTCAAAATCTTAGCCCTGACCTATTGTGGTGAAAGAGCAGAAGTCATCAGTAATATCTTATCTGCATAAATATTTAAACAGAAGATAATTAAATGTATTAGGTGAACATCACCTGGGTGCTTGAGCTTACTAAAAAGCAACTAGTATCTGCATACCTCACTTGTGATAGAAGAAGAATTTTCTGTTGTCATCATTGAATCAGATGCTAAGAAGTTGAAAATAAGGTTTGTAATGTCTGTGCAGACGGTCTTCAGCAGGTGTTTGACCAGGTTAGTCTGAGTCTCATCTGTTGAAAAAGAAGAAAAGAAACTGCCTGTCATTACAAGTACCTTTCAGCAGTTCTTGGATGTCACAGGAAAGGACACTACAGTGTTTCCCAAGATGCAGACTACAGACCATAAACCACGGGAAAGTCATCTGGGCATACGAGGCTACCATCCCTCATTTGCAGTTGCTTATAGAGCACACTTCAGGGAAAATAACAGCTTTGAGGTCTGTATGTGCATTCGAGCACACGCTCAATGCTGCAGAGATGCATCTAGTTCCTGCATGCACTGCTAATGAGCGAATATTGCCAGTCAACAAGGAGAAAGAACTTAAAGGAAAAGAATTTAACAGACAAACAGTCAAATAAAAGAACAGGCAGTTCACTTAAGTCCTAAATAGTAGAATTTTAGAAAGGGGGGGGGCGGGGTCGGGAAGCCAACAAAAAAAAGGAGTTAGCAGAACAGAAGCTAATGGCAAATAATCATATTTATTCCAAAACACAGAAACATATTTTTGGTTAACATTTCCTTTTACTAAACGTTCTCCAAAGTGAATATTCTAGAATAAAGCTGATTACAGCAGAGAATCCTGAAAATATCTGCGATATTTTCCTATTACCACTTTATTTGGCTGCATATATGCAGCTAAACAACATTCCAATAGAGTAACCCACTAAAAAGTAAATCTACACCTAGTTGAGAAACTGTTCTCAAAAACCAATTACTAATGTTTTACCAAACTGAAGGAAGGTTTTCAGTGAAGCTTCTTAGGGATGGGCATATTCTGTATTCTTATTAGTGAGACAGGTGACAATGAACCGTGCTTAATTTTAGAGAAAACACAAAATCAGGGAAGGGAGAAAAACAGTTTGAAAAAAAGAACAAGAAGACAAAGTCGCCCTGACAGAATTAAGATTATGAGTAATAAAAAAGTGTAACTCAGTAAAGCTGCAGAGTTATGCACTCCAGCAGTATGTACTGGTAACAGCTAGGCAATGTGAACACATCCTTAAGGGGTTGTTTTTCTTGGACCTTAAATGTTTCTGGGATAAATTCAACATCCTTGCTGGGGTACATTTTTTTAAAGTATATATTTATTGTACCTGTGAAGTGTTTTGTTCCCTTTTCAAATAACCGAATGTTATTGTACAAGTTAGAGAATTCTTCCTGCAAGTCCTTCATAGTCTGTCTTCTGCTAGCTCCAGAGGAAGATGACGCTGAAGATGTAAAAACAGAACGTACAACTTCCTGGTAATTTTTTGTCAGAGGTCTTTGAAAAGGGAAGAAGAAAGAAAAGGGGAGATGTTAAAGTGTAAAGCTTTACAAGGCGTTTTCAAAAACGGCAGTATGAGTCAAAGCTACTTCATTACACAAAAAAATGAGTGGGACATGAATGCCACAGATTGCTGAGATAAATGAAAAGCATAATTAAAACCTTAAAACCCTAGAAAATTAAAATACACTTTTGGTATTTGCAAAAGCGTGACTGGTTACACTATGTATGGTGTGTTAGATCAGCTTGGTGACCTGTCTTAGGGTCAGTGGGATATGTAGCAGGCACTGTACAGAAGATGGGACCCAACACAGATCAGCATAAGCTGCAGTGAAAATACACCCAGGAACTAGAAAATTCTGAGGATGAACACCACAAAAATCACCTGCTGTCAGACAGAAGTATTTCTCATTACTGTGTCAACACAGCTTTCTTATATATGAGGATCTATGTAATATGGAGTTGTACAGGAAGAGAATTATGTGGTTCACCTCCATCAGCAACACACACACACCCCTATCTATCTATCTACACAAGGAAACAAAATTAATAGAAGATACATTGGCAAGGAACAGCAGACCCTTTCCTATTAGCTTAGGCTCATCATTGCACTTACCTTACTAGATGTCCAGCAAGCTCTGTAATAAGCTCCTCGGGGCAATCGTCTATGTGGGTCTTTAAAACATCCTGAATTTCTTCTTGTGACAGGAAAGGGAACTCCAGCTGCTTATTCTTGCCTGTAGCGGCCATGAGCAACATTTATTGACAAAAGATTATATTTAAAATTGTTGCAGTTATTCAGTGGCATAAGATACTGAAACGGCTCAAGTTGAAAACTGCATAAATGAAATGCATAAACAATAACTAAAAAAATAGTAGCTAAAGCTAATGCTAGTTAAATCTTATGCATATTTTCTTTTTTGATCACTTAAAAATTATTTTCCTTGTAGACAACTTAGGAAATATACTAGGACGTGGGTTCTGATTGAAGGACTTTGAAACTGTCTGGTTCCATGAATTAGTTCAGAAATTACAATGATAAAACATTTTTTGTTTGTTTGTTTTTAAGTTAAATTGAGCAGAAACTTGTTTGCGGGATTTCCCTTTTCTTTTAAAACCCCATTTAAGGAGATACACTGTTACTTAAAAAAGTGTCCTCAACTTCAGGTGGCTATGTATAATGATAATTCAGGAATATTGAACTGCATGAGAAGTTCCAAGCAGTAAGATACACATATACACTGCTTATAAATACGAACTGGTGTATCTATGTTTTGTTTCGGGGAAAAATATCAAGTTTATCTGGATGCTGCAGAAGAGCCTTTCAGACAGTCCTGAACATGAGGTCAGGAAGGTAGCTGGGAAGCAGGAAAGGATGGATGCAGCATGAGAAGAGCAATATTCTGCACATAAGGAACCTGAATGAATAGCAATCAGTGAGCTTCCCAGTTAGGCCACAGCAGCAATGAACTATAAGACAAGCAGTTGCAGAGCAGCCTTAAATCATGTTTTTGTAATGGTATAATTTATATTTGAACAGTTATATCTGACTTATTGTGAGATTTTTCATTCATAGATCTGATGACTACTTTTTTCCCCACAAAAGAAATAATTCAAAAGAGAAGTCTGTCAATCATCAGCATTCTTCAAATACGGTTCAGCTATTACAACTGAGTGGTACTAGCAATATCAATTGTAGATCATGTAAGGCCATACAAAAAAAGCAGTAGCTGAGCAATCCTGAAAAATAATTTAAATGCAAATTACGTGGATCTTTCAGAACTGCAACACAGAAAATTAATATACTACATAACATCAAAAATCTCATTTAAAAGTATTTTCTGTCATTATTAGAGTCTAGTTGGAAGCACACTTTTGGTATTTCAGCAAATAACATTTGCTGGAACATTTAACTGTGATGATGTTTCAGAGATCAGGGATGTGCAAAAGCAATTGATAAAAGCATATCACTCAGAAGACAGTGCTCAAAATAAATGACACACTTGTGCTAGTTGTTTGTGACTCTTCATCGCTGTCGGCATCTTTTCTTCCCTTCTTTTTACTTTTCTTAATCTTGATCTCTCTGGCGTTTCCACCTCCTCCTGCTCTCACGCTTCCGCTGCCCTCTGGTGGACACAGAGGTGATTAGGAAAGAGGAAGGCAGAACTGAACCCCCAAACTACAATACACATTCCACAGTCCTAGAGTTAGGACAATTTTATATTTCAGAAAAACAAAATAAAATAGTTAAAGCTTCATTTAAGTAAATGTCATTAATAAACACAAATACTTATCATATTAAAGGCAGACATCATCAAGAAAAAAAATAAATCCCAGTGTCCACATTGCAAAAAGATTTTTCTGCTGGTTGAAAGAGTATTTAATAATATAGTTCACTGATGCTGAACAACTGAGCTACTCAAAAATGTTTCAGATAACATTTGGTGCAGCATAAGAGTTAAGGGAAATAATCCTACATAGCTTATCCAAAAACACTCTTGCAAGTGTGCACTCAATTAACTACCACGCTAATTCCTGTTCAGTTTTTCCTACATGACTGCAGAGCAATGATGTGATGCAGTTTTGACAAACATAACAAATTATTTAGTCCCTAGATGCAGTAATCCATGTACAATGTACTTACACTGCCAACAGTATCTCAATTTACAATAGTTTCTCCTCACATAGCAGCTGCTCTGCTGCTTGCTCTGCTTCTTTTTCATTTGGAAGAAATCTGAACTCCAGAATAATTTTATCTACAGATACATAGTCTTAAAAAAGTAATTATATATAAAAATGGACAGTGTGACATTTGCCACTTTTTGCCATTATAAAATAATGACACCCAATCTTTATACCAAGATGTTCATCATTTTGGGGAAATACACCTAATACAGAAAATAATTCAGGACAGCTTTTGCTGATGGTGCAGCACACATTATCTGTGAATGTATCTATAAAAAACACGGCATATGCTTAAAAGTCTTACTCTGCAGAAAGCTGGAAACTGAAGTCATTCTATTCCTGACAGTTCAATTAAAGTTCAAGTTTCTCTGCTTCACTTATGGCCTAGAAAAGTCTGCAATCTCCTGTGGCAAGAACAGGTTCAGTTTCCATGCCAACTCAGTCATGGCCTTTTTCAGGGCAGAACCTAATGTTTTATTTTTCAGATGAGTATATTCAATTAAGCTAGATGCATCAGCACTCTAATTCTGTTACTTTCAATGGCACATAAAACTCTGCATGTGGGTTCAACACAGAGTGCTCAGCAGTGCTGTAGCAACACAACATCCATATAAAGCCTTCTGTAGGGCTGAAAATACTTAGTCTGGATAATATTTTAAAAAATGGATACATATGAAGAGTAAAAAATTAGCTCCACTATATCTATACCTACAATATAAACATGAGAAGTCATCTGATTAATTGCTACCTATGTTTTGCAATGGACTAGAGATAGGTAATGGCCTTTATGTTTAAACTTTACATTTAAATATTTCAAAGGTTCAACAATGTATTTTTCCATCCCCGTGAATAAAACCAAAAGCTGATACCTTACCTGTTGCTTTCTTTCTTCTTTCATCCTTTTTATCTTTTTTGTTAGCATATGCATTTTCTAAAATAGATGCTTGTTTTAAGTCTTCTTCAGTGATTAAATTAACAGGGCTATTTTTCATTTCCTAAAATAAGATCATTCACTTAATAGCAAAAAGACATACATTCAAAGAAAAAAAAGTATATATATAGGGACTTTCATGCCACTTGGCCATTATGAAGCATATTAATCTAAAATGTTTTCCAAGTGTACCAGAAAAAGACATAATTCTTCTCTTCCCATTCAATATCTGATCACACTGTTAGAGTGATGGCACTCCATAAGCAACAATTTACCGCACATTGAATTTCATGTGTTACATAAACATCCCTTTTTCATTCCTGTCCTCCTCCTTGTCTACAAGGCTGCCCAGGGAGGCTGTGGAGTCTCCTTCTCTGGAGATCTTCCAAACCTGCCCGGATGCCGCCCTGTGCCCCGTGCTCGGGGTGTCCCTGCGTGTGCAGAGGGTTGGACTAGATGATCTTTAGAAGTCCCTTCCAACCTTAACTGTTCTGTGATTCTACGATTGTGGAGCTACGCTTTAGAGGAGGTGTAAAGAGTTGGTAACAGCAAACAAAGTCAGGTAAGCTGTACTCCAACACTAAACATACATCACATAGTTCAATTAACGAAAAAGTACCTTTTCAGCTTTCTGTTGCATCAGATCAGAAAACAGATCAATACAGCTGCTTAAAAACTTCTCACCGACTGCAATGGTGTCATTGAAGACTAAACCTGAAGAATGTTTGTCGAAAGATCTCATCACTTGCTGAAGCAAAATGCCAACATCTTCTACTGACAATGAACTGGGCAGAAGAGTCTAAGGTAAAGAAAAACAAAATCATTTACATATAATAACTTGTCTAGAATGCAAAGTCATAATTTGCATTCTATGCATGCATTTTATGTGTGCATAAAAAGGACCCACAGATATCCCATTCAATACTGTTAGCTACTCAAAATGCATTGCATTCTTAAAATTAAATAAATACCTTAAAAGTAAATACTATTTTTAATCTTCTAACATGCCAATAGGCCGTGCAATGTGATCAACACTGATCAGGAATATCAGGGCAATTTCTGGAACAAAGCACAGCATCTTTCAAAATGTAGCTCAACAGATACAGAAATCCTGTAAGGGAACAGCTCGCTTCTAAGGCATCCAACTGAGACTTATTCAGGGTGAAATGGCTAACATCTCACTACTTACTGAAACTATCCTATTTTTTTTCTCCCGAACAGTGCCATAAAAGTTTTTTTTTTTTTGACAAGATGGGAATTACATTATGCATACATGAATCTCCAAGAAGATATCACTGGACACAAAAATCTGGCAAAATAAATAAGATAGCTTACTGCTACATCTATCCAGCTTCCAGAGCTGATGGCTTCCTCTACAGAAGCTTCTACTTGATCCACAATTTCTTGACTGACACAAGCTGCTCTCAGAAATAAGAGCTGTGTAGACTTGTATCTTTTTTTAATGTAGCCTGATGGATCCGGGATGCCAAGTCGGTACAAGGCATCGAATTCTGAAAGACAGTTAAAAGTCTGTTAAGTTTGATTATCTTCAAAAACATATGGGACCTTAACTGGCAAACCATCCTGAAAGCAGGAACAGCAGTATAAAAAACAAGTTTACATGTAGGCAAACTTACACATAAACAACACATGCAAGTACTACTTCAAAGTGGATGACGACTTAAAACTTGGTTCAGTACAAGATGGTACAGCTAGCTATAATTAATAGAAGCATAAAGATACATTTTACATACAGACACAACTTTGGCTTAAATTTTGAAAAAAAAAATAATCTGCTTTTATCAGATTCTTAACATACAAGATTTGCTTTTGCAGAAAGCATTCCAATGCAAAATGAACACTTATTTACAATATTGTCCAAACATGCTGTTTTCTAAAGCTACTGAGATATACTTGCAGGATCATGCGATGCCTCACAAGCATCTCAAGTATCTGGTTTATACTTAGACATTCTGAAAACATCTAAAAACTCTAACAGATACTCCTTCAGTCAAGTAATACTATGGAAACACTTAGTAGTACTACATTAAAATATGCTAAGACTTTTCAGAATGTGAGCCTGCCTGTTATTTAGGGCCTGGCCCTTTGGGATTGTAGGGGTACATCCCTATGTTTATACAGGTCTATATTTTCCCATAGCTCCTGTTTTAAAACAGTAGCATCAGCAGTGCTCAGTTTTAAATCAGACAGACTTGTTCAGACTCAAATTAGGCACAGCATGGGCACTGTGCCCACCTTCAGTTCTGTAAACTCTTATTTTGGAAAAGGTTCTTCCTGTGCACTGCATGCTTGGCTAATGGGGCTACTAACAGCTTATGTTCTGTTGTAATCCGAGTGCCTCACCTGAAACTACCTACCTCATTCAAACACAACCCTCTGAAAAGTCCACAACCAGCAGTCAGCTTAAATATTTTCAGCACAGTAGAAGTAGTATTTTAAATCTCTTTTTGAGAAAGAAAGCTACTGTGTACATCCTGGTTCCTTCTGCAGAAATACGGTTGTTTGTGCTGAAATAACACACTTGACTGAAGCAGGAGAGTCTTTCACCAGAGGAATATCAACTACTATATTAATTTTCACTTATTCCTTTTGACACTTCAGTCTAGACAGGAGCTATATTAGGATAAGACTAATTACCTACAGACATTTAAAAAATACTTTATCCCTATAAATTAAGATCAATTACCTAAGTAACCATTCTGCTTGAAAAAGGAATCCACCCAGTTGCTTTGTGTTCTGGCATAAATGTCTGGGATAAAAACAGCCTTATCCTGTCTCCCACCAACCACGGTGCCTTTCAGACGACCAGTGTTAACAAGTTCTTCTAGCACAGCTGAAAAAAGAAAACACAAAGAAACATTTTTTCACTGAGACATAACCATTATTCAAAACACAGGAATTATTTTCCCCATTTTGTTCCTTCTGTTTTCCTTCTTTGTTTTTCTTGTTACTGCTAGATGAAGGAAATTAAAAGCTAAAGTGCTTTTTCCAGCAAAACATTCACGAGTTCTATCAATTACTTTCAACACTTCTGAGAATGTTGTGACAAAATCTCTGGAAATTGTACATATTCCAAAAGAGGAAACTACATTGGCAGGATTAAAACACTTTTTATTTAACACTTACCTAGGAAATTTTAGCTTTTAATTTATGAACTGTAGCCATAAAAGTATCTTTCTCTGGCCAGACAGTCAAGTATATGAGCATTTTATTAACAATGTTCTCTTTCAGTTCCCTGGATGAATGTTAACATCATGAAACACAGATCTGAACACACTAGAAGAGATAAAAAACTGCTACTTAACTCAAATAGATGCGAGCACACAATGTAATGGTCACTACCTTAATGTAATGGTCACTACCTTAATGGTGTTCAACAGTCATGCTGTTACCAACCTGGCGATGCACCAATATTACTGGCAAAGCACGTGGGTAATGAGGACTAAAGTAAGGCTCTCTTGATGCCAAGTAACATATCTTTAACATCTTCAAAACATATCTTTAATACACCAAAGGTGCACAGGAATGTCCAGTTGGCATCTCATGTTTTGTTACTGTCTTTTATATGACACCAGATGTAAAACCCCCTCCAACCTCCAACAAAAGATCATGGATCAGTAAACTGCCAAACTCTGCTGCTTCCTACAGTTTTGTTAGTGGCTTTTGGGCCTCAGTTTGTATGGAACATGTTGATACTGCTACCCTGTAGACAAACATGAAAAGATATCAAATGGCATGGCTCCTAACTCATAACATATAAGAAGTGACCAACACTTCAGTATGATTAGTACAGCACATGAAGGTTTAGTTTCTTCTCAGCAAATTTTACCTGAAATGCTGATTTCAGAAGAATCACTGCATTTTATATCATGACTTCTTTTCCCCCGACCTTTCCAGACATGCCCAGTACACATAAGCTTCAGTATTCTCCCAGCTACTGGACAAAAATGCCACTAAAGAACCTAAGCAGCAGTTACACTCAAAAAATATAAGAAAAAAAACTGTTTCTTTTTTAAATCAGTTATCTCAACTCAGACTAGTGCTGAAAAACATATTTTGTCATGTTTCAGGTACCTAGTATGAAGTATACCTTATAAAACAACTTCTGAAAATAAATCTAGTTTTTTTACAATTACTAATGGTTTAATAACACTGGAAAGCATGTCTGTCTTATTTACACAATATCCAGACAGTGAGCTTGGCTCTGTTGCTAATCTCAGCTTGGTTTTAATTCCGTTCTTGCGAAAAGAATAAAATTTAAATAAGTATCTCCTTTTTTTGTGAAAAATTAGCACTGAAAAAGTCTTAAACCAAAAAAAAATAGTGAAGAAATGAAAGTGACCATTTTTGCATCATTTTAGTATTGATTCTAAAATACCAGGATAGAGAAAATGATTTAATTGGAGCTCTCACAGTCACTACATGTATCACATCTAGATAGCCTTGGTTTTAAAATCAAGCAGGAGGAACATGCACAGAACTGCAGTAATCTCACACTTGTAACTAAAGGTGACTGAGTAGTTTGCAGCATCCTGTTAGTTCTCTTTCAGAGCCTGAGAAAGGTCACAGGTTTTCCTCCACGCCTGGCCTAGGTCAGATACAATAGCTAGAAATGAGAAAAATTTGTGCTGCCATTATGCTTAGTATCTGCTGCTACTAATAACTTAAATGGTTTCTCCTTTCTAAAACTAGCTTTTTCCCCATCATAATGTGATGCCATCTTAATATGAAGAACAGCATGGCTATGTGTTGGACACAAAGACAGTTGTTTGTCTCATCTGACACTAAGTGGTGATTAAGTAATTAGCTATTCATAAATTGTACAAGCAATATACTCAACTTACAACTAAATATTTTCAGAATATTTACAATATTAGAATTTGTTTTTTCTGGAAGAGGTACAAAACTCACAAACACTGCTAATAATAATGAGCATAAAAAGTGAACACCCAAAATAACATATTTTAAATGGTATTTTGAAGTATTCCAAAATTTGTGAGATTAAAAAAATGTATTGCAGAAAATGGATAGAAGAAAATAAAAAATGCCCAAAGGGAACAAAAAGATCTTTGAAATTAATGAAACTGTAAAGGGAGTAAAGTGCAGTAAGATAAACTAAATAAAAAGAAGGAACACTTACTGAAGGAAAAAGAAAAAAAAGAAAGAGTACTAAAACCTCACATAGCCATTGTGCTATTTTTAGGGATATAGTGATACAGAAATACACCTTCGTTAAGACTAGGACTTCAACTCAGGCTGAAATTGTACAAAAGCAATGCATGATCATGTCCGTGTAGGATCAGACAACGTTAAAAGAAGACTGTAACTGCATGCTGAAATTTGTTGGCTAGTGCAAGATTACTACAAGATAGTAAAGCAGATTTTCCTTTTAATATACAAGTACCTGCATGATACATTCCTAGGGGTAACAAAACAAAAAAAAAATCCACAAATCTTACATTAATTAATTAATGTAAAAGCAGAGTGTTTATATGATTTAAATGCTAAGGGTTTCAGTTTTACTGAATAAACTAACAATAAAGAATATGAAGAGAAGCAGAGAAATATTATAATAAAGCTCATGTGTGCAGGATCTTGAAGGCAAAAGTTAACCCACTGCCCCAAAAGAATAACCTCATTATACTGAGTTTCATGGGAAGATGGGCGAAGAAGCCATTGAAGGGTTCTGAAGAGCAGCAGTGCTTGGTCAGGCAGCACACAAAACTAATGATGCTGCTTTCCTTTGCGCAGGCAGGAAAAGATTCTTGGTAGTCAAAGAAAAGCTGCAATATTAGAAGCAAGAAACAACTAATTCCTTCCTAATGATTTTCTTTGCAATTGCTGAAACTTTATGTATATTTAAGAGTTGCAGAAAATAAAAGGGAACAATCTAAGAGTCTGCTTTATCTCTAAGCATATAAAGACATTTAACTAAGAGGATAATAAAACCTCTTTTTCTGCTATCACAGAGCAAAGTCAACAAACAAAATCCAAAGCAGTTAATGTCATTTGGATACATTAAATCTGTCTCCTTTTGTGTGCTGATACAACTGCCAGTAGCTAAGGGCAAATAAGGAAACAGATGACAAAACCAAGTACTACACTTCTTGGATCATTCTGCACCCAGAGGCATTTCATCAATGTGTGCTTTCATTGCTTTAGATACACATAAGCATCTCTTAAGGGGTGGAGAGCATAAAAGGTGCAAGGGGTTTTATTTCCAAATTGGTGCTGTATACTAAAATGCTTTTTCGAAAGCATACTTCCAGTAATGAAAAAAACATTATTTAACTAGCAAAACCGCAAAACAGTCTGAATGAAACTCACAGTAAAGTAAATGTTCCTGAAATCCGTAACGAGTGATCAAGTTACTTACAGGGGTAGGCCTTGGAAAAAAACAAAAACAAAATGACGTAAGTTAAAAAACTAAATTGCTGTGGACAATCTAGATATGAGAACTGCTCCTGGTATACAAAATTGCATCATATTTTGGCCCCCAGGTGCTACACTGAACTTTAGTACAACCTATGGAGTTTTAAGTCCAAATGAAGTTATATATATCTTAAAACACAGCTACTCTAATTATCAATAATTATAATACATACACTTTTGCTGACACAGTAAATTACTGATCAGGTTACAAGGATGATTTTGTATTCAAGTGTGCTGAGTAGATGTCAATATGTAATTAGCTAGGGAGCAGTGACAGATTCTCACCAAACAAATACAAGTTCTACTGACTAGTATCCTCTGTAGCGCCCAAAAAGGTATATCGGTTATTTTCCTTGTTCACTTAACTTCTATTTTAAAATAAGGCAAAAAAATAAAAAGGTGAATCTAAGGTAACTGATAAGCACATTCAAAAGGTGCACACAATTCTTTTTCCCAATAAATTGAACTTTACTTGATGATTTTTTTTTTCAATCACAAGTGAATTTAAGAACCAAAAAAAAGAAAAAAAAAATTAAATGTAATTGTAGGTGTTTTGATTTACCGAGTAATTGCAGAGAAGAGGCCACGGATGCGAGCTCGGTGACGGGACACGAAGGCGTCTGTATAAATCACCCCACGGTTGTCCTGGTCTAGCTGCCCACGAATAATTTTACCCAGACGTCTGGATAATGCCTGAAAATAAAAGCTGGGATAGTGGATCAAAGGGTACTCTCTCTATACACATACATACGAGTTTACATATATACACATATACACATACACATGTGTACACATATTTATGTTTTATACACACATACACATATGTGTATGTATAAAAACATGTATTTACTAATCAGTAATTTATTTTTCCTACAAATGATAATATACTTGGTAATGAGAATTTCATTTGAAAACTACTAGTGAGGTATACTCATTATTATTTATTATGAAATGATAAACATAGAAAAGATGCGAATAGTTTACAAATGTGCAAAGCAAACCAAAACATCAAGGTTACCCAAGGAAAAGAAATAAATTGTAATCTTTTTATTCTAGAACAATTTTTCCAAAAACTGATCATGCAAGAAATAGAGTAATTCTGTTCATAAATCAAGACAGCCAAGATACCAAGTATGACTGCTCACCTAACACAAGCTACAGAATTTCCATCTGAAAAATGTGATCTTTTAAAGAAACTTCCAGCTTTCAGTCAAAGTCCCTAATAAGACTCCACAATCCTTCTGAACATTTGCACTCATTACTCAGGGAAGTGGTTTTTTTTTTTGTTTCTGTTCTGAATATCTGAATATAGCTTCTATAAACCAAATTTATTCTACTTTTTTGGATGATCTGAAATTATCAGTATTTCTTCTTCCTGGACAGCTAACGAGACCGATGAGGTTAACCCTGCACCAACTCTCTAATACAAAGTCCATCAAAATTAAAACCACTGATAACACAAAAATGCCAAGAAAAGAGAACATTTCTTCACCATCATTTCTACATTTGTTGGGTTGGTAGTTTGAATCACCTGTATCAAGAAGTCTCCCGGAAGGTCGTACGCCTTACAGAGCTCTGATATTGTCACCTGGCCGGTTTCCTGTAGTTTATCGTTTATTTCTTCTGCTAATTGATCTAGATAACTCCTTATTTGAACACAAAGGGGAAAAGAAAAAAAATAAGCATGAAATTCAAAAAACAACCTGCACTCATCTACATGCACCTTCCCGCAGCATTACTAATTAGTACATCTGCTACTATGCATGCTCTGACTGCATATTTTCAGCAAAAAAAGGAAAATAATGTCACAGCTTTTTTTTTTTTTTTTTTTTTTTTTTTTTTTTTTTTTTT